CATACCTTCCCCTTTACTCTGCCTCTTATTATAACGTGCAAGTGGGCCGTTAAGGCACACGGGGATGTGGGCAGCTGCCGCTCAACCACCATCAACGTGGGCAGCCTTGTACGTGCGAGGCAAAGTGAAAGAGGAGCTGTTGCCCCAAAGAAACCCTAGCTAARCAYRGTTCAAAATGGTTCTATTATGATTCGTGCTGCCTGTTTGGGCGGACTCAGTCCGGTTCTACTCATCTGGTTGGAATAGGGGTTGTTGTGGGGGAAGCTTATAACACACACTGAACACTAACTACAGCTATGGCGGCTATGGCCGCCCCTACCCTATCGCTATGGCTACACTTCGTCTCTCTGCCCACTTCGTCTTCGGGCTCACTGCAGACCTCCTTGCACAAGTCGCTGTGGCAGCGCTTCCGCATGGCTCACGCAGGAATCAATGAATGGCTGGGCGCTGCCTCTTGATTTATACTTCTGCAGTGCGTTGGTCTGGCCCCTTTCCCAGGCCCGAAGTGCACACAGTCCCATGCGGTACTTGCTTGACTGGACAGGACTACCTAGGACTGGGACTGCTGACTCAGCACGGGCAGACTCCTCCACTTGCCTCGCCACTTGCCCACTTGCCTCAGTCTACACGTAGGCAACTTCGAAAGGCCACTGCTGGGACCTTCCGGAAGGCCGTAGACTTGGCCTTTCGTGACTGTAGCAGCTACGACTTGACCCTTCTGGACTGTAGCAGCTATGATCTTGACCTTTCGGGAAAACTACGGCTACGACTTCTAGACCTGACTACGACTCCTACTCAACAGGTCTACAGATCGAACCCCTGCTACCTATAGACCCCTCGACGGCCAACCAACTGTTACAAATACACAGGTCGCGGGTTCAACTCTAGGGGTTGACACACATACTGTACATAGGTAAGGTGGGGACTAGGGATCGAGCCCTGGAACCTGCATCAGCTACTGCGAACTGGTGAATCCCGTTTCATGAGTCAAAAGCATGCCAGAAGTGCGCTGAACTCCGGCTAGTACTAGAATAGCATACGTGTGCGCCAGGGAGAAATTGTAATGAATAATGAGAGGAGGAGGTTGGGAGGGAGTTTCCTAAGGATTAGGGACCCTCCAGATAACCAATGGCCAACTACCGAGTGTGGCTGTCATATGTCTAGCATCCAGCATCTCTACAACCTGGACTTTATACCCAAAAAAAAAAAAAAAAAGCATTTGGTTCAAATTTTAAAATGAATCGAATGAATGAAGCTGTTCAGTGAATGAATGAAATGAAATGAAATCAAAATGAATTAATTGCAATCAAATGAATGAGTCCACAGACATGGTCTGATGATCGTTTTTTCTGTTGGTTTCACTCTCTTTTTTATTTAAAAAAAATTGTTGTAATCATTGGCATGGTAGATTGTTCTCTCTCCGATTGATGGAAGCCCAGCGGCGCGAGCAGGCATTCATGCTGGAGATGAACTGCTGCAGATTGATGGTTAGTCAATTACTTCCGCCCACTCTTCTCCCTTTCTCCCATTGCGCTTCCTCTTCTTCCATCGTTCTCCCCTTCTCTGTGTTTCATCCCCACTACCCCCCTGCTCCCCTCCTTTCATCCTTCGAGTCTCCTCTTCGCCCTTTGTTCTTCTCTCTTGTTTTCTGTGTTGGTACCATCCTTCGGACTTGACGACCACTCAGCGCTTTTTCCTTTAAATTTCCGCTTTTTTTTTTTTTTTTAACTCCTCACTGTCCTCCGTGCTTTTCCATGGTGCATATTATGTCCTCTTTGAGGGTAAAGCCTTGCGCAGTGTGCATTTGTTCATATGCAACATGAAAATGAGTATGCTCTCTCTCTCTCTCTCTCTCTCTCTCTCTCTCTCTCTCTCTCTCTCTCTCTCTGTGTCTGTCTGTCTATCTATCTACCTATCTATCCCTCTTCTTTTTTTTTTTTTGTTTGTTTGTTTTGAACGAGGGATAATTTGCAAAATACCCCCATAAGTCGAGATATATGCCAGAATGCCCCTGAAAGATGTGTGTAGACCGGAATGCCCTTTTGGGGGGAAATATTTGTGTCATGCCCCTGTAGGGCCGGTGCACAAAGTTGCAATCTGGACCTTGCTGTTTGGGCCTTGGCCGTCTGCAATCAGGCCTTGGAAAAGTTGGCAAGGACAGATTGAGGGGCATTTTGCAAAGTTCGACAGTACTTGTTAGGGGTACATTGCGAAGAGTGGGGGGTCCGGCAGACTCAAGGGGTACCTCACAAAAAGTTTTCTTTTTTGTCAGAGGGGCATTCCGCTCTATTCACATCCTTAAAGGGCATTTTGGCATATATCTCAACTTATGGGGGTATTTGGCAAATTAACCCTTTTTATTATGATCTTCTGTTTTTTTTTTCCCTTTTTCTTTTTGGGTTAATTGCAGAAATAGCCCTTTTTAAAAATTTCCCAGCAGGAATATCATCCGGTACAAGTTTCATTGCAAAAATACCCTTCTTTTTTAGCACCTTTACCAGTTCCCGCTTGTTTCACAGCAAGCAAAATTCCCCGTGATAGGGCCTGAGGCCAGAGTACCTGACTGCCTGAAGGCCGGAGGCCCACGGGTCCTGTGCTGGGAAAGAGTAGTTCCAGGCTGGTACCGTTATGGGCCTGATGGTGGGTCTCTGGCCTCAGGCCAGAGTCCCTGAGTGCCTGAGGCCGGAGGCCGAAGGGTCCTATTCTGGGAAAGTCTGGAATCGGCTATAATTTTTGCTGTGAAACTAGTGGGACCCAGCAAAGCTACTTCGAAAGAGGTGTTTTACTATTTTAGTATTTTTGCAATGAAACGTGGACCCGAGGGTATTCTACTATTCTTGCTCCAAAACTTCAAAATATTATTAAAATTTAAAAAATAATAAAAATCGATATTTCTCATCATTTCTGCAATTGTTACCCAGCTCTCTCTCTGCTTTGACAGCCCATCCTGCATAGACGTTGCAGCGTTGATATCGCCTGAATACACCCCCCCCCCCCTGTTATTATGACCGTTTAGGACGGAAACTCTCTCTTTGACATTGTACATTCATGACAACGGTTTATTTACCTCGGGGGAACACCGTAGCTGTGTAATACTGTGTTCCGTTCAGACCAAGTGGACTGTATCTGACGCATATGCCCGGTGCACGTGCTCCGTGCGAGAGAGAGAGAGAGAGAGAGAGAGAGAGAGAGAGAGAGAGAGAGAGAGAGAGAGAGAGAGAGAGAGAGAGAGAGAGAGGTGCACACGCACGGAGGCAGCGGCTGATCGTTGAATCCCACCGAATGAATGAATGAACCTACAACAAAGGAACCAGAAAAGATTCAAAAGAACCCCGCTCTGGACCAAGGGTGAAGTGATATACCGGCCTTGGTCCAGGTACCGGGGGAGCCAATGGTGCCCACAGGCGACAATCAGGCCGACAGCCTGGAACTGGACCGGCCGGCCTGGCTGCCGGAACTGCGGGGTACCGCGGCTACACTCTAATTATAGCTTTTGTATTGCTCTCAAGCGTCGAGACTCGAGAGTGTTCCGTGAAAGCTGAATGAACATTGTGGTGTTGCATTGCGCTGATCACAGACCAAACGTTGAAAGGTCTTAATGGTGAAGAAGCAGCAACAAGGCTCCGAGGCCAGGCTGGTACATCCGTGAGGCTGAAACTGCGCACAGGAGTAAGTTCAATGTTCTGGACTCCATGTTGGTTCAGCGGCTTCGGCTTTTCTTTTTCTTTTCTTTTCTTTTCTTTTCTTTTCTCTTCTTTTCTTTTACTTTTTTTTGTTGCAGAAAATGTAATCTGCCTTGTCCTCATTTGAAGAACAGCTGCATTTTACTACTCTATAGTGTTAGATTTTTTTCCCTTGTTTTTTTTTTTTTTTTAAATGGGGGTACGGCGGTACTCCCTAATGTTATTTTGTCCAAGTTTTTTTCATGGGCTCAAGAATCAAGATTCTAAAGTTCTCTAAATATCATCCTATCCTTTTTTTTTCTCGTTTGTTTGTTTGTTTGTTTGTTTGTTTGTTTGTTTGTTTGTTTTTTGTACAGTAGGTGTTACGGACTCCGCCAGGGCTCGATGCCTGGTCTATCTTTTCGCTGTTTCGGCTGCTTCCCGTTTTCAGCCTGGCAACCTTTTTCCAAATCCCTCCTTTGGTACCGTAGGATTTTGGACAACTGGCGCCATGCTGCAATTCGGGCGCCACTTTCAAATACCGCATTTTTCTTGGTTCCCCACAAGGACTCGAAAGTCTCAAACTCATGATCTTCTTTTCTGTATTCAACTTACCTCTGAAAAACGGTTCCCCAGAAATCGCTGATTTTCTTTTCTGAATCGAACGTAAGTGCATTGCATTCGAAGTTTTGGAAATTCTGATTAAAAAAAAAAAACAGAAATTGAAAACTCCCAAAAAAAAAAAACAATGTTGTACAGCATTGCCATACTAACAAGTTTGGCTGAGGATCAAGTCGAAATTCACACCCAAATAAGACTTTTTTTTTTAGGGCAGGGACATTCTGTTTTCTGATTTCTTTAGAATTTCGGTGTCTCAGAAAAAAAAAAATCCAGACCCCCCCCCCCTACCCCCCCCGCCCCCCAAAAAAACTCTGTTGTACAAGATTGCTATACAAATAACTTTTGCTTTTGGGTCTTGGTCAAATTCCCAACCAAATTCGAGGAAAAAAAAAGACGGTTGGAAGTACAGGCTCCTGCAAAGTTGTGCCCTAAAACTCGTTCATTGTATAACGTACGTACATTGTATTCGAACACACACCGTACCTTTTTTTTTGGGGTTAAGACAGTAGCACGGATGAACTGATCAGCAAACTTCAGAAAGGAAATGATGAAGAAAATCTGAAACTTACCAAGGGGCCTACGCCTAGCCCCTCTGTCGGACACCAAGAGGATGCCTGGGGGGTCAATGATCATTTATTACCATGGCTTTGGCTTCATCAAGCGAAACCCAGCAAGCTGGGCAGTGAGCTCTAAAGATAATACGACCTGATGATCAAGCTCAATCTCTAGTATGTTATGATGAAACAAAATGATCGTCAAGTTTTAACTTTTAATAAGTTACTTCCAACTTACTTGTGCACAAATAATATGTTATTGCTACACTAATTGATTAGTGTTTGCCACTGTTTGGAAGCCAGTGTATGGCCACTGCTTTTTTTCCCTTTCTTTCTTTGAATTCTTTCCCCACTTCCGCATGTCATCCTTGCTCAGGGGCCATGGGCTAATCATTCTCGATTAGTGTTCGGCTCTTCTTGATTTATGTGTGTCATCCTTGGCGCAGGGGCCATGCTCATCTCATCATTCCAATTTTAATGGATGTCGCAAAGGACTCTTTCCTTCCTTTTCTTTTTTTTTCTTTTTTTTTTATGCGCAGGGGCCATGCTAATCTTCTCTGTATCGTTCCAATTTGAACGGATGTCCCGAAGGACTCTTTCCTTCCTTTCTAATCAGCCACTCGTGCACGGATATGTTATGTTACAGGGGGTCGAGAAGAGCCGGTTTGCACCCAAGTACAGAGAGGTGAGAAACAAATGGCTGGCAAAGGCTTTGTTGAAGTTCATTCCTTTCTCTTTGCACCTCACTCGATGGAACATTCGTTGGAGATGAAAAAGCTCGTGAGTCTGAAACTTTTCCCCTTTGCTGGATCCACAAATTTTGTGACCCTTGTTGAGGCTCGTTTCTTCTTTTTGTTAATTATAAAAGAGGGCGATCAGTGAACTGACTGGCCCCAGGTACCCCAGGTAATCCGGAATTGTCATCTTCTGTTCAGCTGCTTGCATCTGGATTCGAACTTGGGTCTGTATTTCAACAGTTCATGGGTGCACCAACTGAGCTAGGGCCTTGTTTCTCCTTGTGTTTTCTTTTTTTCCCCCCTTGTTTCTCCTTGTTATTACTACAAGTTTTTTTTTTTTTGCAGCTTCAGGATCTTACTGTTGCTCCCCACGAATAGATCGGAGCATTATTTACCCCCCCGCCCCCCCCCCCCCCCCCCCCCCCCCCCCCCCCACCCCGCCAAAGGGAAAGAGGATCTTGCTGTTAGATCAATTACATACTTCTGAATGTTTGAAACACCAATGTGTGTGTACATTGCATGGGTAAGTACTGTGGCCACACCACTCTGTCAAAACTCAAACTCAATGCTTATCTGAAACTTTTTCTCCTTTTTTTTGGGGAAAACTTTCGAAATGCCCCTCCGACTTCTATTTATTTGTGGTATGCCCCTCCGACGGCGAACTTACCCTGTCGCGTCCCTGGGGCCTCTGAGGTTTCCTGCATGTCCCTGTCAGTGAGGGGTGAAACTTTCCAGCATGCCCCTGTGGCCGTTGGTGGCACTTGAGGCCGTTCCCCTGGCCTTGGGAGGGGAGCTACCGGGGCATACTGGAAATTTGGAACCGGTACCAGTAGGGGCATATTGACAACGCCAGGGATTTTTCGGAAACTTCAATGGTTTAAAAGGGGCGCAACAGGGTAAGTCGGCCGTCGGAGGGGCATACCGCAAAGTTGCGCGAACAAATGGAAGTTGGAGGGGCATTTCAAAAATTTTCCCTTTTTTTTTGGGGTTCGGGGGGGGGCAAGTCTTGGTCTTGTTGATTATGTGAGTAGACACTGCTGAAGTGATAGTAGAATGTTTTCATCTTTGCAGTATAGCATGTGAATTGGCGTGCATGGTAAAGTGAATCGCCGTGTCAGCTGAATCTGCTCATTTTTACTGAATCTGAACTTTGTATTCTGTGGCCGATCCAGACCAGGAAGAATTGGGGTGCCTGTGGTCCAGAGGTAGAATTGTGACAGGGGGAAATGATGACCTGACATAATATCTACACAATCTCGTTCTCATGAAAGGACCAAGATGACAATGGCCTACTCTGAAAATCCCTGGAGGAGGAGGGAAAGCAGTATTCACAGGCGAGGTGGAGGGGAGGCAGGAAGGAAGTAGAGAGACAAATACACGATCTAGTTTCGTAACCTGGACTAAATCGAGTCGTCACTGTTGGGAGAAAGGGGCACATACGCAGACACAAACACACGAGCACAGACCAAACATGCAGCGAGAGAGAGAGAGAGAGAGAGAGAGAGAGAGAGAGAGAGAGAGAGACGATCTAGTTTCATAAACTGGACTAAATCAAGTAGTCACTGTAGGGAGAAAGGGGCACATACACAGACACAAACACATGAGCACACACCAAACATGCACACACACACACACAAAGAGAGAGAGAAAAAAAGAGAGAGAGAGAGAGAGAGAGAGAGAGAGAGAGAGAGAGAGAGAGAGAGAGAGAGAGAGAGTCTTACGGAGACATAAATTGTGCTAAAGTTTTGAACCTCTTGCCCAACATTGTTGTGATGATGATCATAATTCCATTGCAGGTGGTAATCACTAGAGAGACCATCAACTTAAGTCCTGTGTTCTGGGCTATTCTTCCACACTCAAACCGGTCAGGAGAATCGGCCAAGTTAGGCTACATCCGTCTGTCAACATTTAGCCAGGTGAGTCTGAGGAATCTGCTGTTTTAAATGTGTTTTTGCCTTCAAGTTGTTCTTTCGTGTCCAGTCCTGATGAAATGAGCAGTAGTATAGGTCATGTCATTGTGATGCCACCTTGAGGTGACTTCCCCGGGGAGCCGAGCAACTCGTCTGACCTCCCAATGGATAAGTACCATGGGGACCTCCTGAGGCCTGGCCTCCGCCCTCTACTACACCCAAAAAAAAAAAAAAAAAAAAAAAAAAAGGAGGTAAAGATAAGCCAGGAAGTTGAGCGCTTGTAAGATTATTGATTCTCTGGCCAGTTTTGTTATGTGTCGTTTTTTACGTGTGTACGTTATGACGTTCGTGTTTTGGGCAAATCTTTAAACTCAGGTTGTGGAAAGTGGGGGGCAGTTTTTTCGGTGAAACCGTCCAAGATTATATTTTCAGATTTCGAAATTAAATGCTTCATCTTTTCTACAGCTTTTGCATTTCTGTTGCTTGGCAGGCACTTTTTTTTTTTTTTTTTTTGGTGGGAGGCCAATGTGTATTCAAACTATCTTGCCAAATTTCCAAAATTCTATTACTTTGTAATAACTTACTAATAACTTAATAAGTATGTATAATCATTTATGACCTAGGCTGCCAGAGTGGCCTGGGACCACTTGCCCAACCGGGCCAAAAAAAGAAGAAGAAGAAAAAATATATATTTTAAATTTGGTAAAGAATTTCGATGTGACCCTGAGGCAAAAGTTGTGCAGTTTATTTTTCTGCATAACATAGTCTTTTTTTCGGAATTTTAAATTTGTGGATTTTATGTTTTTTGGCTGGGACCTTCCCTGGTCCTTGCACGGCTGGGCCGCCTGGGAAAATAAGGTGACCCGGGTGGCCCGGCTGGTAGCCTAGTTTCTGGCTCATTTATGAGTCATTTCTGCTAAGGCAATGAAGTTAGACTCAAAGAGTCTAAACTCAATTCAAATCCTTGTATCCACTATGCTGGGCTACTGACCGGGCGGCTGCGATCACGCTGGTTGCCCGGGGAGCCCGGCTGCCCGGCAAGGAGGGCCAGGAAACATCCCTGCAAAACAAAAAAAATCCAAAATATACTAAAGAATACACTTATGCTGCTATGCAGAAAAATAAACTGAACAACTTTTGCACATGGTTGCATAGTGACGGCCCTGACCACTGCCGCTCGACCTGACCGGAGAAAACAGTAGCAGGGTGCTAGCAAAGTCATGGTATATATCGTCAAACAGAGCTGCCCGGTAAACCATAGGCAGAGAGGGAGAAGAGGACAACAAACAAAGGGCTGTGACAAACTGTTTCGTCGGAGTTTCACCGACTCATCAGGAGGCTGAACCCTCAACAATCTGCAGAATCCCCTAACTGATTACACTGTAAGTGATCATCCACCTTAACCCCGACTGTGGTTAAGCATCAACTACTGCCCGACAACTGATACCCTGAGGTGGCATGGAATTCAACGGAGCGGCTTTGCGGTGTTGGCGTGAGGGAGTGCGTCATTCTCGCTAGAGCGTCGTAGAGTATTGAAGTCTTTTGCGGAGACTACATCTTCATTATCCCTTGTAGGGATTTAAGTGGAGACGCTGCAGCGTGTGGCACAGCGTACAGGCTACCATGGTCGTAGAAGAGCATTGGGTTACTCCCAGGCGCCTACTACCATCGGTGCGACCGTGTCTCTTATTCTTGGGCGTGTCTGGCCACTGATGAGTCCGACGGGAGGAAACACGCATAATTGTTCAGCACTGCACAGCTCTTCACGTGCAAGTGTGCTTAGTGGGTGTTGTGGAGTTTGACGGAGTGGTTTTACGGCGTTGGCGCGAGGGAGTGCGTCATTCTCACGAGAGCGTCGTGAGCAGGCACAGACCCCAGGACGAGGCAAGGCAGCGCTCCTGGACACAGCCTACCGTCCTGCCCCTAGCTTGCCCAAGGCTAGGCGGAACGCAGACTAGCCGGAGCGACTTATATCCCTGCCCTACCCCCTAGAGTCTCAGCCCTTTCGCTGACCCAGACGAACTTGTAACTCACGTCTTCTACTCGCCCACACACAGTCACCCCCTACTAGTATAGGACATAGAGTGCTAGGGGTAATGACGGGCCTAGCCTCTAGGGGTAGAGCTAGACTGTGTGTGGGCGAGTAGAGGGTGCGAGTTACGGGTTGATCTGGTTCAACGATGGGCCTAGACTCTAGGGGTAGAGCAGGGATATAATTCGCTCCGGCTAGTCTGAGTTCAGCCTAGCTTTGGGCAAGCTAGCGGAAGGACGGTAGGATGTGTCCCGGAGAGCCGCCTTGCCTCGTCCTGGGGTCTGCGCCTGTTTATCAGGCAGACACACCGATCTCTGCAGCAATTGTTTTCAAAATTTGTCTTTTTTTTTGTGGCACTGGTATATTTTTGGTCAAGGTTTGTGTGTGCCAAGTTCGGTGTTTGTTGAAGCCTTGGTGATGAGTATTTTTGCAAGCCCTTAAAATCCTGAAAAAAGTTCAAAAACTGTGAAGGGTGAATTTCCACCCCTCAACCCCTTTCCCCCTGCCCTTTGCTCCCTTCCCCTGTGCTCCTCTCCCCTTCTCTCCCTTTGCCCTGAACTCGCCTTCCCTTTTCTCCTGTTACGCAGCATTCCGTGCGAAGGGGATTCAGGGCAAAGGGAGAGAAGGGGAGAGGAGCACAGGGGAAGGGAGCAAAGGGCAGGGGGAAAGGGGGCGAGGGGTGGAAATTCACCCTTTGCTGTTTTTCAGGATTTTAATCTTTTTTTTTATAATCTATCTATCTATTTATCTTCTATCTATCTATTTACTAAAGGATGGATAGGGCCCCGGACGTCGGTTCCCCTGGCCCCAGGGAAAATGAGGCCCGGACGTCGGTTGGATGGGACAGGCGCTGTGCAACGTTTCGTTTTGTTTTTTTTTTGTCGTTTAGTGCACATTTTCTCACGTCGCATTTTGCAGGGCGTGGCTTCGAGGGCTCGTGAATTCGGGCGCGCGTTTAGACGCGGCGGCCTGTTTCGAGCGGCCTTTTTTTTGGGGGGCTGGCTGGGTTGGCGCATTTGTACCGTTTTTCCCCGAGGGTGGGCGGCGCAGTTGCTGTTGTCGCGGTTATCTTTCCATGTTCTAGCGGAAGATCCATTCGATTTTGCTCATCCTATAGATCGAAGTT